ACCTAGAACGCCTAACCGCATGTTTATTTCCGTGTGTCTTGCATTTTCCCAAGGTTTGCGAAAGCACGTATAGAAATCGTCGTTGTCAATGACCACGTATGGAAATAAAGGTGTCACGCGTAAATCCTTGTAAGCATGTATGTTCTCGAAAGTTCATGCTCGAGCTGGACGATGGATGGCCCAGCAATAAGGCCGGGCGTGTTTCGGGTGTTTGAGCATGTATCATGGCATATATATATATATATGATACATATACATGTAATACATATACATACTTACATCTGCATGCATTTATGTATACATATGCACACATACACACAGACATATACGTATAGACATATATATATATACATACACACACATACATATATATACATACATACATACATACATACATACACACATACATACATACATACATACATACATACATACACATATATATACATACATACATACATACATACATACATACACACATATATACTGACATGCATGCATGCATACCAACATACATAGACACATACATATATACATGTATACAAACATCCAACGATACATACATGGATGTAAAAACAACACGCATGAGCACACATGTTCACACACACATACATATACATGTGTGTGTGTATATATATGTATATGTACACATGTCTGTATGCAGGTATTTGAAGTAATTCGTGCTAGTAACTAGTACTTATATACAATAAATAAAGATGAAGAGGAAGAAGACCGTGCTCGGGTAGAAGAGCATGTGGTGGCCTGCCAGGGGAGCCCGGGAGATCCATTTCAAGGTACTCCCGGCTGGTTCTGGGTAGGTTGTGTCAGTCTCTCTCTCTCTCTCTCTCTCTCTCACTCTGCCATGCTCTCTTTTATCTGTGTGCGGGTGACTGTGACATGTTTGTGCAGCTTCATGGCTTCCGCTTACAGTGTGCAGAGAGGGACATGCATTTAAAATAATACATGCGCGAGTGACAGGAAGCATGATTGTAAGAGGTTGTCACTTACATCATATCAGCAAGATTCAATTTCGCTCAGCTATGTCGGGTAGCAAACTGGACGACCTGGAGCTCCCATCTGCCGGCTTGAGTTATGATTGGTTCCTGCTGGAAGGTCTTGCGGAACGGGGTGCAACGGGACGGTTGGTGATTGCACCAGGTGTACTCACCCGCCCCGACCTTGATTTCAACTGGGATGTCGTCGCAACAGCTATGCAACACATGGGTGCACGTCCTGGGGTGGACAAGCTGCAAGATGAAGTCGATCTTTTCTTCCAGCGTAGCCGACAGAAGGGCAAGAAGCCGGTCAGTCGTCACCAGGCTTCAAAGGTGGATGATTGCATGAGTTTCTGATAGGTGTTACTGGTGAGGGTGAGTGATAACCGAGGTGATTTCTGTCGCACCCAAGCCTGGCGAGTTCGGAACTTGATATCCATGTTCAATCGGATATGCAAGCTCCCTCATCGCCCAAACGAAGAGAACATTCGGAAGATTTACATGCACTTGGGTCTGGAGATTCCACCTGGTATTTTGTCTGCAGTTTTAGCAAGCAAATCGGTTTGAGTGGTATAGGGGGTTTGGCATGACCCAGCAGCACCCACGCCCAGGACGGCAGGCGCGATCCAAGGACATGCTGGAGGATGAGGACGGATGCGAGGAGGTCCGGTTTGCTTCAGCCGTTGAGGATGGGCCCTTATAATTGTTTATGTCAGCGACAGGTCGGCTACGATGAGGAGGGTGGTGAGTCGGAAACAGGAACTGAGGATGGTGAGGTTCCTGTAATGCCTGTGCCCTCTCCTGCAGCCCCGGACAAGAAGCCAGTACCCTCTCCGAGAAGCTTTGCAAGAATATATGCGGTTGCTTTGCAAGAGCATTGTTGAGCTGATCGATTGTATATTGTATACTGGTATATGCTTGCTTGCTATGAGGAAGTTCGACATCGGCTCCGTCTACGCAAGTGGTCACCCCGAAGCACGTGCAAGGCCATGGGACGCCTGAGTCAACCGAGAAGCTAGAAGCCCCCGGCAAGCGTCAGCTTTTGCAAGCTTTGCAAGATCAGCAAAAGCAGTTGAAGCTATTGCTTTTGATGAAGCAGCAGCAGCAGCAGAGATCTGGTAAATCCCAGCTTGGCACCCTGTATGCAGTTATACTGTCGGGAGTTGTGTGGCATGCAATATATTGTATATCATGTGAGCTCTGCTTTTTATTGCCGCATGAGGTGATGTGACGAACCAAGAGACTCAAGTTCTGGATGATAGTTTGCTGGACAAGGTTGCAGCCGACATGAGCAAGGAAGTTGATGCCAAGGAGAAGGCAGCTGCTGCTGCTCATGTGTATGATGACAAGGCCCCGGAGCGATTTGCCCAGAAGCGACTCCGCAGCGCCACGATGGAGTTGCAGCCAAGCAAAGTGCCCAGAACTAGTTCCGTACCGATCAAGAAAGAGCCGGTTCCTGTCAAGAAAGAGCCGGTTCCTATCAAGGCAGAGCCTCTAAAGCCTTTGGTAGAGC